ACTTTGCCCTAAAATTTAGGACCGAATGATACTCAAATTCTTTTGTTCCCCAGTCTATACGAATTTACCAGCGTGCTCCAACCATCTGTTACCAAATCTATATGATCCCTACTTAAGTCATTGTTTTCACTAAAGATGTTCACTTATTGCTGATTTCTACTCTAGAGAAAATTTAGATGTCTTGTGTTTAATTTTAAATAGCTATAACTGTACAAATTTATCTCGGTTATCATATGTATTTATATATGAGGTGAAAAAGAATTTGTAACTTTTAATTAAATAAAACAACAATACAATATATCCATTTATTTGATCAAGAAAAGAACTTTATTTTATCATCTTCTTCTTTTCTATGTTTTAAGGGCTCACGATCAATTAATTGATCAGTTTGGCTCCTATGCATGTAGAGGGGATTTTTCTGTGCCTGGTGTTGATGAGAATACTTTACTGGTTGCAAGTGGCACTTTGTGAGGGTATCAGGCACTGGGGATTGGAAGACTTGAGGCAATAGACACAAATGTGTCAAGTGTTGTCGCCTCAACCGTTCCTTTTGGAAGCTTGTTCCTGTCCCTGATTGTCTTGAGCAGGAATGAGCAGTTCCCATACTGGCTTCTCGCTGGTATGAGCGGGAACTGCCTGTCATGGCCTCGTCGCTGTCTATGGGGGAGAGGGACGAGTTTCTGTTTAATGCTGAAGCAGTGGACCAGCCCATTATTTATCTTGTAAACCATAGAGAGCCTGGATAGTCGTCGTCGCTCGTCCAATGGTGACCAGCCCAGTCTTTCCAGCAAGCTGTCAACATTAGAGGTATTCCTGTATCGGTTCAGGACAAAGCGGGCTTCCCGTCGCTATTCTGGGTAAATGGGTCCCAGACTGAAGATGCATAATCTAAAACCGGACGGACAAAGGCTTTATAGGCTATTTCTTTCACTCAGGAGTTTCCAATATTGAGATTACGCCTTAAGAACCCCAGCGTGTTGTTTGCCCGGTTGCACACATTGTTAATATGCTCGTCCCAGTGGACCTCCCTTTGAATGGTAACAATCAGGTACTTTACGGAGGAAACTGGCTCAATATATGGCCATGCATTTCGTATTGTTAAAGTAGAGCAGGCCTGCACAGCTCAAAATGTAAGGCGGGCCGTAATGCATTATGAAAAAAAGTGAGCAGGCCAAAAGAAAATAAGACAGGACTTGTGCGGGCCTAAAAAATATAGGTCAGGAGGAAAGGTATTAAGAAAATAATAAGAATAACGAATTTTTCGATACCTCGCGGGCCACAAAGTGGGTGCTGGCGGGCCACATGCGGCCCGCGGGCCGTATATTGTGCAGGCCTTGTGTAGATGATTACAACTTCTAGAGACTGACAGTGTCTGGCACTTGGCAGGGCGAAATTTAATTTCTCAGCTCATCTCCCACTCAGCTAACGGATTGAGATCCTGTTGTAGCTTGTCCCGGTCAGAACTGTTGGCGATCGTCCTATACACCTTTGTGTCCTCTTCGAACAGTCTTGCTTGGTAAGTCAGTTTCTCGGGTAGGTCATTAATGTAGGCTAGGAACAAACAGTGGCCTTGCACTAATCCCTGGGGGACCCCTGACTTCACACCGACAAAGGGGGAGCTTGTACCGTCCGCCACTACTGCTTGGCATCGGTTGCTGAGGAAGCTAGAGATCCAAGTTCTAGTAGTGTCTTGGATCCCATATCTCTGAAGTTTGTGTAGAAGCAAACTATGAGTGACAGTGTCAAATGCCTTTTAGAAGTCCATCACCATCATCTTATCCTATAAAATCTTACCGTATCTATTCTTATCTTTTCTTAAAGTATATTATCTTATCTCATCGTATATTATATGTTCTTATTTCATCTTATCTTACCTTAACTTATCTTAATCAGAAAAATGTAAATTATTATAAATAACCGTCTTTAAAAGTGAATTTGTATTAACAAAAAACAAACAATTAGGAATAAGAGATTCTTACACCAGCCTGGTAGCAACCCAATCAAAAGTTTTACTGACTATTTATTTGAAAAAATAATGAACATGACACTTTCTGAACGTGTTGGATTAAGATAAAGCTTTCAGGTAGATTAATGAGACATAAATAATTCGTGTAAATTAAAACAATATATGTAAAGCTTTAATTATGGTTACACAGAATGCAAATGCAAACATTTTAGCAAAAGACTTCATCAGTACGACGAAAACATTAAATATAAATTATAAGTGTAAATTAAATAACATAATATATATATATATATATATATATATATATATATATATATATATATATATCTCTCTCTTATACACATATATATGTGTATA